GAAACCCATTGGCCAATTGTGTCTGCCCTATTCACTTCATCAAATTCTATACTTAGCCCTAACTCATTAAGTACTTATCAAGCCTTCTCTTTAATTTTCCCAATCCTGTTGCATCTACCACATCTGAAGGCATTCTCTTCCAAATGCTGACCATCTTGTTTGAAAAACAAAATTGCCTAATTTTCAGATGACTTCTGTCTTTCTAAATCTTGTATCTCCAAGTCCTACTACTTTTACCAATAAACATGAAAAATCATAATGCATCAATCTTATCAATACCCTATATTAATTCTGAACACTTTAATCAAATCTTCACTAGCTTCTCTTTTCTCAAAAGAAAATAATTTTAAAGACCTTAAGTAATTATATGACAGACCCTTCATCCTGGTCACTATCCTTCGAATACTTTCCAAAACATGGTGCTCTTCTTAAAATGAGGAGCCAATGACCAAACAAAATACTCCAATTGAAGTTAACCTTCTTTGACTGGTATTTCTGTAGTTGAACAATGTGAAATCTTCTTTGATTTCCCACTGGCAGCAACACACAGTTTGGAAGATTTAAGAGCATGATTGCCAAAGTGTAAAGAACCTTCTCTTCCATAATACTGTTGAGTTGATTTCTACAAAGGAGGTAACTGTAGTTGAAGATAGCCCATATTCATTACCTTACACTTAGCGTAATTAGGTGCCATATATTTGAAAAATTATCTAAATCCCTTTGTAAGAACAACTGCATCCTCCTCATAGCTAAACACACCCAAAACTAATGTCATTGGCAAACTTGACCAATTTGTTGACCATTTCCTTATCAATATTGTTAATGTAATTTGTTTACTTGTATATCTTGTGGTGTTTAAGCAATAAAAGTAATACATCATTTAAATCACAATTATTTATTGTTGCAAAAGCAAAGATATTTTGCTACCTGTTTTGGTCACATTTATTCAGGCACAATTAGAGGGGAAAAATAGCAGAGTAGGAATCAAGAAGTAAGGAAAAGAAACCATTAAAAAAAAACTAACTTCAAAACTTAATCACAAAAAATAATGCATCATTTATAAAATCTAATTAATTATAACTTGCAACACTTCTAACCGAGATTTAAGCAGTTCTCTTTGCTTTAATACTTTATGATGATGATTAAAAATCAGTGTACACAGTGATATGCTAATTTACATATGGTCATATCACTATAACTATTGTGACTATAATCTGAGCCCCAATTGTGATTTTGCATTATGCATTAACGAACTGAAGACAAAGCTATGAGATGATAGAAAGAAAAGTATGTAATTATGAACATATTAACAGTTAGCAAGGTGGTATTCCTTCATTTTTTAATCTTTCAGTCTATCTTATACTACTGAAAGATTAATATATGCATGAATTAGGTCAAACTAAATACTTCATATAAAATGTTTAGGGTTAAGAATACTCACATTCTCTCCTGTAAAAACAGAAGAGAACATTTAAGACCTCTGCTCTTTCATAGAATTCAAGGTCTTTACTATGATACTTTATGGACACAATCTCTAATTTAATATTTTGTTTCCCTATTACATACTCAAAAAAAAAAAATTGCTATTAGTTTTAACATTATTGGCCAGCTGTTTCTCATAAACCCTTCTTGATTTCCTATTAATTTTTTTTTAAATCAAATCTGTGGCTTCCATACAGTCTTGTAGGTGTTCATTTTAAGCTATTTAAAACTTGTATGTTTTATTCCTGAATTAAAATCAACTTATTTTAAAACAATTCTAAAGTCTGTCCTACATCACATTTTAATGCTATTCATTAAGGAAAATTTATTCTTATCGTCCCAAACTAAGCTTTCTGAAAATTTCTTTTTATTTAACATATAATTAAGTATCAAACCTAAATTTGTAGTGACCACTCTTCCTCAAATTTTCCCCCTACTTTATCATGCATATACAACATAGTGATAAATATCTAACTTGTTATATTTTATGGTAGGCTAAATCAAATATCCCTTTATAAATAAAACTGCAATATATTGTCTACTAACAAGTTGCTATGTTCTTGTTTGAGGGTCTTTTCCTGTAGCATCATAGTTTTCAGTAATTATGAATATTCTATAAAGCTTTTATTACCCTTTATAATGGAGCTCGATTTTTAGGGAAATTCCCAGGTTGTTTGAAGGACAACCTGACTTGTAACAAAGATTGTCCGGATGGCTGTACTGGTTGTCTGAAAAAAAAAAAAATAGATCCTCAAAAAAGATCCAATTATGAGAATATTGATATACAAAGACCCATTTACAAGAATTTTTACGTTTTTTCACCTTATGCATTTCCAAAAAGTACAATTAATGCTTAGTTGGCAATTTTGCATCTTTCTTCAACTGGATGTGTTTACTCCTCCCACGAAGTTTTGTTAAATTTGAAAAAAAAATAAGCTAATGTTACATAGTATCTTATGGAAACAAATAGCCAATGACCTGTAAAACTTTTAAACAGCATAGAAATTTTGGCCAATCACGTTGAATGTTTTAATTTTAACCAGTTTAGCCTGATGCCAAGTACAGTAAAGTACAACCTGTATTAAGACTTGCATCAGAACTCTCACACATACTGCTATACCATAATACGTACACAATGCCTGAGTGCTATACATCTATAAAGATACTTGTATTGACCTGAAGAGAGGCAAATCTAGCTTTACTTAGTTATTGTTATTCTGTTTTGTTCAGATCAAACTTTCATAAAATTTTGTTTGTAGTTGTCATTATTATGCTCTAGTAAAATTTAATGAAAGTACAACATTTCACCAGGATAACCTGGCATCATCAGGTACATTAACTACAATGAATGAATTGAAACTACAAGTTTTATATATATTTGTAATTTCAATTCATTCATTGTAGTTGATGTACCTGATGATGCCAGGTTAACCTGATGAAACGATGTACTTTCATTAAATTTTACTCTGTTTATCCGAATTATCAAGTTTACTTTTAATTACGACAGAGTACTTCCTTTTATCGTATTATTATGCTCTGTTTAATTCATGGATTTTCCCACTTTTCTCATGGCAGATAAATTTCCATATTTCCTAGACTCCATTGGTTGTATCTGTATAGGCCTATTTGTGCATAATAAAAAGGGAGTCAATGTTTCAACTGTAATGATTAATGATAACTTCTGAGTTTGATGTTGTAAATTTGATAATTTTATTACCTACCACTATTCATGCTCAGTTGAACTCCATACACAATTTATGTGAATAAAGCAGCACAGAGGTGCATCTTGTCCATGATAGAAAGTTTAGTGACTAAACAGCATTATTAGTCAATCACAAAAGCAAACATTTCCTGATGTTTTCAGCCCCTTTTGGTGGATTATACCAACATTTATCTTGTAAAAAGTACAAACGTTTTTTAAACAAAGAAATAGACCAAAAGATATTTTTTTGTGTGTGTGTGGGAGGGGGGGGGTTCAGATTTTCAAGTTTGTAGTTGAAAATATACTTTTGATTTTGGTCGAGGATTAGTCAACATTACGTGAGTAGTGTGGGCATGGATAAATGTACAATAGACTGCGATGCTGTTTTGTGTAAAGGTCTATTTCAGGGTGTAGGTATCCAAGGAAGTTTTTAGTTGTCATAGACAATCATTAAAAAAATTGAGCCATGCTTTTCAATCAGATTACTTACTAAAATGCTGTTAATATATAAGCACAAGTCTGTATGTCTCCTTCTTTCTCTCTGGGTCTGTTTCTTATGCATGACCACATCTTTAAAGCTACAAACTCCATACTATAATACAACTTTGTGCAAGAAGTAATGTGGGCTATGTAGCTGTGGTGTTAGAGGCCAAAGTGATCAGTATAGCAATTTTTGGCAAACAGAATGACCAATTGGTCTCAAATAGAAAAGGACTGATTTTTTTTGTGATGTGTGATCATCAGGGCTATTATTCTTCTCTGTGTGAGGACTTATCCTAATCATTATATCCATGATCAATTATGTGTTGAAATGATTTAAAACTTCATGGAGCCTTCATCTGTGCTCTTTTCCTTCCCCTCTCTTCCTTCTACACATACATGCTTACTCTCTAACTCCCCTTAACTGAAAAAGGCTGGTGCTTTTCCTCGAACATGTGCACACACACACACTTCTTCAACTAAATAGGCTTGCTTCAGCCATATCTTTTGCTTTGCTTGCGTGTACTCAAAAGAATCGGTTATATGGTAACTTTACAAAAACACTTGGTATCGACAAACTTTCATTTATGTTTTGTTGCAACAATAAGGGATTAAATCACTTCATTAAATGGAATGATAATAAAGTCAGAATATGCTGCAAACAATACTTGATTTTGCACAGCAGAAATTGGGACACCAAAAGTTGGGAATTTTGTTTTCAAAACTTGACATGTCATGGAAAGCACATACAGGAGCAATGGACACGTTTTTTTTTTTTATTATTATAATAGCTTTAGCAAATTTTATTGTTTTGGACATTGTTATTGTTATTGATTTTTTTTTTTCCAAAACAAATCACGATTAATGTGCTTGACTTAACCAAAACAACTCGGGATATTTAAAGCCATTTTCATCTGAGCAGAGCAGTGCCGGGATACTCTGCTTGTTAGGTGCAATTTAGAGGAAATGTTGAAATATGAGTGTTTTATATGTGCAGGTATGGCTAATTTATACTGATATTGGATAGAGCTGGGTGATTAGGGGAATTGGATAGTTAACTTGTCATTGGACTAATTAACCGATTACATTCAGTTTATCAGTTATTCTTACCTGAGACTTAGATAGTTGGAATAATCAAATATGGTTATAATTGAAAATACTAATTTTGATTAGTTGATTATTTTCCTGAATCGTAGCACTAATCAATTAAGCTGAACAACTTAATGAAACTCTTCTATGTAATTAATGCTCATAGGTAATTTGATACATAGATTAAGATCTAGTATTGAACTTAGGACAGAATTGCACTTAATTTCTGTATTTTTTTTTGTCACAGAACATGGTAGAAGGAAAAAACTACGCTTCTTTCAAGAAGAGGTAAGTTATTATAGAATAATTTGTCGTGAAACTTCTATAAAGTTTCATTTATACAAACTTTTTTTTTTTCTGATACTATATATATTTTTCCACTTAGTAACTGAGAATTATAATCCAAGTAATCATTTCCTTTAAATCATAATGTAACTTGTTATGAGGTAGAAGAACTTTATTGAATGTGTAAATGTGTAAAGCAAAAATGTGGTGGAATTAATTTAAGCAGATTTTGTACTTTTAGTTATATAGTACTGCATAGTATCCTTTTATCTTTATTTATTTACCTATAAATTTGTTTCTCATTTCTTCAAACACACAGATTCTTCCAAAAGTTGAGCAGGAACAAATTCAAAGACAACAGAACTTGATACAAATCTGCCAAAAGATGGGCTATAATGATACATCTCTGGAGAACATTAATCAGGATCAGCTTAGTCATCTGATAGTAGATGAAAACTATAAACTAATTTACTGCTATGTTCCAAAGGTAAAATTTCAAATTTCCTTGGTAGTCTCAAAGCTTTTAATTGAAACAAAAAAGGGGGGGGGAGTGGTTTAAGGCTTTAAATGAAATTATAGAATAGTCTAACAACTAGTCAGTAAGGAGTGGCTCAAGCCTTTAACTGAAGCTGTAGAACAGTTAACTTACAGATCATTAGAGACATAATTAACTGAAGCTAATGGACAGTAACAAGCAATCAGTAGGAAGTTGATTAAGGCCTTAACAGAAGCTGTATAACAGTTCAATAGCTACCCAGTAGGGAGTGGATTAAGTTTTTAATTGAAGTTGTAGAACAATTTAATAACTAGTCAGTATGAAGCATATTGAGCCTTTGATTGAAGCTATAGAGCAGTGGAATAACTAGGCAATAGGGAGTAGTTCAGACATTTAACTGAAGCTGTAGAATATATATATATTAAGTCAAGTAGATCAAGGCTGAAGCTGAAGAATAATTTAATGTTAGCCAGTAGGGATCAGATCATTACTTTAACTAAAGCTATAGATGAGTTTAATAATAACTAATTAAGCATTTAACAGGAGCTGCAAAGCAATTTAATAACTATTCAGTAGATAATAGATCAACATTTAACAGCAGCTGTAGAAAAATTCAGTAACTAGTCAGTAGGGAGTGGATAAAGCATTTAACGGAAGTTGTAGAACAGTTTAATAACTAGTCATTATGGAGTGGATAAAGCATTTAACGGAAGTTGTAGAACAGTTTTATAACTAGTCAGTATGGAGTGGATAAAGCATTTAATGGAAGTTGTAGAACAGTTTTATAACTAGTCAGTATGGAGTGGATAAAGCATTTAATGGAAGTTGTAGAACAGTTTAATAACTAGTCAGTAGGGAGTGGATAAAGCATTTAATGGAAGTTGTAGAACAGTTTAATAACTAGTCAGTATGGAGTGGATAAAGCATTTAACGGAAGTTGTAGAACAGTTTTATAACTAGTCAGTATGGAGTGGATAAAGCATTTAACGGAAGTTGTAGAACAGTTTAATAACTAGTCATTATGGAGTGGATAAAGCATTTAATGGAAGTTGTAGAACAGTTTAATAACTAGTCAGTAGGGAGTGGATAAAGCATTTAATGGAAGTTGTAGAACAGTTTTATAACTAGTCAGTATGGAGTGGATAAAGCATCTAACAGAAGCTGTAGAACAGTTTAATTAGTCAGTAGGGAGTGGATCAAGCTTTTAATTGAAGCAGTTGGAAAGTTTATTAATCTGTAAGCAAAACATTGATTGAGTCTTCTGTTGAAGCACTTTAAATGCTTAACAATTTATCAGTAGGAAGTACCAAGCCTTTGATTGAAGTTGTTGAACTGTTTAATAACTTATCATTAGGAAATTGATTAGTTTTTTTAATGAAGCTGTGGAACAGTTAAACAGCTAAGTTGATGATGAAGAACCTACTTTGAGACTGATAAAGTTTGGAGATGGCTTGAATAGGTATGAAAGAAAACTTCACTGCAAGTGTAAGATAGTAACGAATGTAAAACGTTTGGTACCACATCATGAAACTTTATCAAAACAGTGTACATTTGTTAGTACATTAAACTTGTAATGAAGTTTTCTTTGTTACCCATTCAAGCCATCTCCAAAGTTTTTCTTAAATAAATTATTAATCTTTAAGTCGATCAATCCTCTAGTTGGAGCAACTGAACTACTGTTCAGTAGAGAGAGGCTTAAACACTTAGATTGAATCTTTAAGAAATATATTAAACTACAGAACACTTTTCATTCCCTGAAATTCAAATCAATATCTTGTTTTTACTTAATGAAATAATTGTATTTATATTGAGTCCAGCTAGCAAGATGAACAGTATTTTCACCTTTTTTTTAGAAAACTATAGCTGGTGTTTTCAGTGTAAATTCTTTTTATTTAGAATGAACCTACTTCAGAGTGGAAAATCAACCTTGAATGTAAAGGTGTAATAATATCACTTACGGTTAATGTGAATCAAATTCCATAATTAGAAAACAGGTTAACTAAAATGAGATGATAACCATGATGTATGTTTTTTATTATTATACTCAATTGAGTGTTTGATACTATACATGTTCTGATGTACTGCTTCTGACTTGCAGGTTGCTTGTACTAACTGGAAAAGGGTATTGATGGTATTGAAGGGTAACAAGGTAAAGAAACCATTAGACATTTTAGGAAATGAAACTCATGCTCATACTTTCAAGACTCTTAACAAGGTATCTATACAAGAAGCTCGGAACATGTTAAAAACATACTTGAAATTCTTGTTTGCAAGACATCCTTATGAGAGGCTATTATCAGCCTACAGAAACAAGTTTGAAAATCGTTACAGTGATTACTTCACTAGTCGCTTTGGCCGCAAAATAATCCAAAGGTATCGAACTAATGCCTCTCAAGTGTCTCTAGAAAAGGGTCATGATGTAACATTTGCAGAATTTGTGCAGTATATTTCTGAATTAGATCCAGCCCAGAAATCAACCTTTAATGAGCACTGGAGACCTATTTTTGACCTGTGTCTGCCATGTTCTTTGAATTACAAAGTCATAGGCAAATATGAAACTTTAGAAGATGATTCAGATTACGTGCTTTGGAGGGCTGGTTTGTTACAGAAGGTTAATTTCCCTGAAAGAGAGCAAAGCTATAAGATGGAGCCAACAGCCGTGCTACTGAAGAAATACTTTAACCAAATTTCTCAGGATGTAAAAGATAAATTATATACTATCTACCAAGAAGATTTTACTATCTTTGGTTATAAAAATCCCTTTTAGAAATTTTAAAACTCAATATTTATGATCTCCGACTTTGACTAATTATGACAGTGTTTTAAAACTTTTCCAGATATGTTTAACACTTTTCCCTTACCTTGGAAACTTATAGTAGGAATTTATAACAACTTATTAGAAGATATAAAATTGGTTTATGATTATTCATTATGCACGAGCTAAATGTTAAAAAAGTAGAGGGTTGTATTTTAAATTTTTTTTTTCTGAGAAACATATTATGGGTTGGTTACTTGAATAAACTATAATACAACGAGAACACACCATAATAAGGCCTGTGGAAGGTATATTTTTTGTTACCTAGAATGGTAATATGGCTAAGTGTACAGAAGATGATTGTCTATTACCATTATGTACTCTATACATGTTAACTGTTTTAATATGGTCATTTTATTTTGACATTAGTTAGTTCAAAGGTTAATAAAGTTCTGAAATATAACTAAATATTTTAGAAACTTGTGTTATTTATGTTTTAGTAATGTTTATATGTAGTTGAAACTTATTTTTTATTTAAAAATGTAAATTCTACCATGAGTGTGTTATATCTTTTTATAAAACTAAAATATCGTGCATTACAAGATTTTACGCCAATATTACTGAAGCAATAAGTCTAAACATGCCTGATGTACTTTCAAAGCCAAGAAAGATTTAAACAACTATGTCACTATTGCATGTAACTTCCCTAATTGCATACATTGTAAAAATGGAAAATTACCACTTCTGACTGATATAAGTTATTTTATATTAAAAACCATTTATAACCTTAAGTGTGGTGAATGATTGGTATAGAAATTCTGCATTTGCAAGCATATCATGTTTGCAAATGATGGTTTATTGTCTTACGATACCTGAACATTTTTTATCTTTAAGCAATGCTAGACAATCCGTGACCCGTTGGGTCACCCACTATTCAATGGTTATGAAGAATTCAAGCTAATTTCAATCTTGCACTCAAATGAAGGTTTATTTTGAGATAATTTAATTAAATATTTCAATCCAATCGTGTTATTCATAATTCAAGAAAAGATATTTGGTTGTTGATTGGGAGTAAAAGTAAAGACCATTTCATTTTTCAAAAAAGTGAAGTCAGAGTTTCCAGGTATTGTGATGAATTAGTTCATTATGTTGTGGTCTGTCCTCTTAAACCTTCTACAAATAAGAAACAGTAACACTTTATTTTTCTTCAAATTACCTACCATAACCAAGGCACATTATTGAGAAATTCTTCAAGATCTTTTTGTCATCATAC